GCTCTTATTATGAGAAAAACTAAAATACATACATTCGTGACGGTCTTCGGCGACGGTGTCGTATGACAGAGCCTGTCATACGACATTTTAGTTTGGTACTGTACTGTAGCTATCATGGATAGCTTGTTTTGCAAGTGTCGGAGGCATAGGCAGTCAATTATCACAGAAAATGTGTCGACTACCGGGACCGCTTACAAGACTGGGCAAGACGACTGAAAATCTGGAAAATCCAGATAAATCTGGAATACTGGCAACTGTGGCCACGAATACAGCTTGCATAGTCGATCTTCTTTGTTCCAGGGTATCAATTGCCAGCAGCATACAGCGATGTTCATATGGAGGAAGATTCAGTGCGTCGTGCCAGGGTAAGTGTCGGAGGCATGCTTGGCATACACAGTTTTGGTCACGAACTGCTCATTTGCTAATAACTTTGCACACAGTTGACGGAACATAGTCCTTTTTGAAGCAGTAGATAGGATAGAGTGTAAGCTTTTTATAGATACGTAAAAAAAGTAGATTTTAATGCTAGTAGTAAACTGTATTTGTTTTTGCTTTGTAAAAATGAGGTGAGAAATGCTCACTACACATCTCGGAATTTAAGTGTTAAATTGATTAGTGTTGATTCAAATGTTAAGCTTTACCTAATCTTCGCATATCTATAGTAAACTATGAGCCTAATCTATCAATTACTTTAAAGAAAAATAAATTTCAACATCTGAGTGAAAAGTTATTGCCAAATGAGCAGTTGGTGTGTACAACTGTGCATGCCAAGCATGGTCGGAGGACTAAGCGCACAAACTTTTTCTGTACAGCCTCGAAACGATCGATCCAGTTTCTATTGTATGGACACCATACTACTACGGCAGATTCCAAAATAGAGCGTACTAGGGCACAGTAGAGGAACTTCAGGCAGAGAGGATCGCGAAATACAAGTGATTACCATAAATAGCTTAACGTCATCTGCATAGAATATTCGCTGTCCGCGTGGCAGAACAAACGAAACATCGTTTATGAATAACGAGAAGAGAAGCGGGCCTAGATTACTTCCTTAAATTCATTTGAATATGAAGATTTTTTTTTTCCTTTATTTAGGAGATTTTTAGCCGTAGGCTAGTTCATCTCCGTAAGGGAATATCCTTCCTTTCACAGACCTTCCAGTCAGGTACGACCTAAACCCGTTTACTAGGTCGGAGGAAAGTCCAAGTTTCTCAAGTTTTCCAAGTAGGATATCATGGTTCACTCGGTCGAATTCAGCTTTAAAATCTGTGTACACGGCATCTACTTGCTTACCAGCGTCCATCGAGCGTATCCAGAGTGAAGTAAACTGTGTGAGATTTGTAGTGACGGATCGTTTCGAGAAGAATCCGTGCTGAGAACAGGATATGTAGTTCTTGCTAGCCTCAAAGAGAATATATTTAACGATAATCTCAAAAAGTTTAGAGCAGGCACTCAACGAAGTAATTCCCCGGTAGTTGGCAACATTACATTTGTCCCCCTTTTGTTAATCGGAGACAGGAATGAAGTTTTCCATCCAGCAGGAAATGTTTTCCTTTGAAACGAGAGGTTGAATAGTTTTACTAATGGTTTCAACAAAGCACTTGAACATTTTTTCAGTACGGTTGAAGGAATCCCTTCAGGACCAGGTGATACCGAATTTTTTAACTTACGTAGAGCATTTTCGACGTGCTCCTCGGTGATTTGAAAAATTCCAAGTTCAAAGCTGTGCAACGGAGTATTACTGAGGGCAGCGTCGATCTGCGCTTCCGTGGTCAATGTATTCGAGAAGGCATTCTTGAAGTGATCGGCAAATAGCCCACATTTACTAGACGCTGAACTAGCAGAACGCTCATCAAAGTACATGGATGTAGGTAATCCATCTTCCTTACGTTTAGTACGAACAAACGACCAGAAATTTTTCGGATGCACACCCAAGTTCCTTTGCGTTCGATCAATGTACCGAGCATACAGAATACGATTGTACCGAGCATACACCAACGATTTCATCCAGATCCAGCTCAGAATCCAGGAATTCCCAATCGATCGAGGACAGTGCATCGTTTAGCAGGCCGTAGTCTACCCGACGAAAATCAAACTGGTTAGAATTATGAAGTGGCTCGTGAATCACCGGTAACGATATAAATACGGTGACATTAATAGCAGAATGTGCGGTGTCAGTATCAACGAGTGATTCGGCTGCGTCGGAAACACAACAGCTTTGTAACCCAGTATCATTAACGAGTACCAAATCGAGAATCCGTGAATTGGAATTCACAACGCCATTTACCTGTGTCAGGCTATGGAAGCAGAATGCATCGTACAACATACTACTAGCTGTCGTCAGTCGAGACCTGCTGGAATCTACTTTGAGACCTTCATCTTCTGAAGGTGTCCAATGCAATTGAGGGTGATTATAGTCACCGAGCTGGAAAGCGACATCATGAGGCTTCAAGCACGATAAAAACGGAATCGATAGATGTAATATGCTGCTGGATGAGAAACAGATCATCTCTACGATCTGGTGGCAGATAAAGCACTCCAACCCTGACGGCACACATGGGAAGCATGATTTTAACCCAAAGCTGCTCAAGAGCATTACTAATCGAAGCACAAACTAGATGATACGGCTATCAGCACTCTGCCGCCCCGAGTTTTTCGACTATTCAATGGGCTTCGATCTGTTCTGAATACCGTGTATGATCCGTTAAATAATTGAGTAGATAGGATGCAATCGTCGAGCCAAATTTCAGTTAATACGTTAACATCATACTCTGAATCATCCGCAGCTTGAAAGAAGGAGTCGATCTTCGTCCGCAGTCCTCGTACATTTTGGTAATAAATGCGCAAGTTCGAATCCGTTACATGACAAAGATGGATTTCGAATGATTGTGGGTGTTGAGCTGAAAGCCAGACAATCGTCAGGAGAAGAATTACCGAAATAGCACGCAAACTCGCCTGAAGAAATTCGGGAGACCCTCACCCTATCTCTGACCACAGGGCCGGAACGACTTTGATGCCAGGATGCGATAGATGCTTGGTGAGAATAGGAAGTTGACTCGGCTGGATCAGAAAGAACGAGGGCTCCCATGATGCCTTGTTGCGAGCGTTCCGGGGTGATGCCATCTGTCAGTTGTTGTCTTATCGAAGAGCTGGACGCTGAACTCGGCTCACTAATGAGTGGCGACAACTCATTTGTAGCCGCGATCTCCCGTAACGGGAAACTATGGAGGTTAAACAAATCAGGAGGAGAATTGCCCATAATGGATGACTACTTGCCTGAAGTTGCAGGTTGGAAGAACCCGTCACCATTCTCAACCACAGGGCCAGCACGACTTCGACGGCAGGAACCAGCAAGCACGACTGGGTTGAGAGGTTCAGGAACTTCCTTGAGGTGGCAGGCAGTGCGTTCTGGTTTGGCAGATTCAGAATAGTCACATACTGGAGGCGTAATGCTGCAACGTGAACACAGATCAGGCGAAGAATTTGTTTGAAAACATGTATACTTGCCTGGGGTAGAAGGTTGGAAGACCCCGTCACCATTCTCAACCGCAGGGCCAGAACGACTGCGACGGCAGGAACCAGCAAGCGCGACTGGGTTGAGAGGTTCAGGGGCAGGCAGTGCGTTCTGGTTTCGAAGGTTCATAATCGTTAAGGTCGACGACACCACAGATGAAGAAGATGGAAATGAAAAGGTCCCAAAATTTTCCTGAAGTCAATGACACTTCTGAAGTTTTCGGATCAATCATAGAATTCTTGAAATATCCCAGAATGCCACGGAATTCTTTAAGTTAATGGGATTATTCTAAAAACCAGAAATTCTCTCGGAGCTTTGCTGAATTTTCCAGAGTTTCTTGAAACTTCTTTAAGGTTTTGGCAAATTTCCTTGAAATTATTTGAACTCTGATATGACTTTATGAAATAAATGGAATTCTCGTAAACACCTTTAAATTTCCCTGAAATTCTCTGGAATTCTGTGGAAGTTCCTGAAATATTTCTGAAGTTTCCATAAATTTTTTGAAGGTATCTGTACTTTCCTGAAATTCTCGGAACATCTTAAGGGTTCACGATTTTTTTCAGCACATGATGAAACTACACTGTACTTATAGATCTTTAACCTGCTCCAAAATTCTGAACTACAGTTACGGGAACTGCCCTTAAGATCTCTAGATCTAGCTTTTCTGAGTTTCCAGAACTTTGCTCGAGTTCTCTATATTTCTGAAGTTTTCTTGACACCGGTGAAGTTCTCTGAAGTTCTAGTAACTTCTTAAAAGTTCCTGCATTATTTGGATGCTAATAGATTCAATTTGAGGTTCTTAAACCTTCTAGTAAGTTCCCCATATTTTCAGGATGTTAACTTCCCTCACACACTAATCCAGTCAGTAAGGTTTTACTGAGTTTTTAAATTGCGGTAAAAGTTTAAAATTCTGTGTAAAATTCAAAAATGAGAAAATTTATTCCGAACTTGCACAGACTTAGTTCTGTTTAGCCCCATTTAATGGTAGAAAATTAAATTTGCCCACCTCTACTCTCAATGTCCCATTCGCACTTCATGGAAACTTGATCCCCATATTCTTAAAGTACACTTGGCGTACAAGAAAGTGCTATCCATCTCGTTTATGAAAGCTCTGGAATTTCAACCGTAACCCTTCAAGCTACCATGCAGTAAATACTCAACAAAGCACGCAAAATCCTTCAAATTCTCGCGCCATCAGCTTAACAAGAGTGCCAACATTCAACCGTACGCATCAACATCCGCGTCGGGAAAATCTAGGCCAACGGTTTCATTTTCATTCTCATCATACCATGCCATCCAAAACACATCATGCAACAGCCAGAGAAGAGTGCCGGGCGACGGGTGGAGAAATTTCCCATTCCATTCCAACATCTACAGCAACATTACAATTTCCTTTCGCTTTGCAGCTGGATGCACACCTAATACCTACCATTGACTAAATGACTGACTAGCTGCATCATAAACTCTGGCGAAAAGAAGAGATGTGCTTTGCAGCACCCAGCTGCTTCAATAACAGAGAAGCGAAATACTTCATGCGGAAAATGCAACCCCATCTCCGCTAGCGAGAGAGAGAGAAAAATGCATCTCGATTAGACAAGTGAACCGAAATGAATCACTTCAATCCCATCGCGATAATTACCTGCCAATTGAATTCTTCACCTAACGAGAAGATCCTAATTGAGGCATTCTTTTCCATTTCCTTTCAGACTCACCCGTTGACTACGATTGCATCGCAGGACCTCTCATCGCAACCACTGGCGGAAGAAGAAATCGTTTCCACGGTACCAGCCGAAGGCTTCGAAGGACGAAAACGTCGTCGATTGGGTAGGAAACGAAAGCGCAGACCTCTGCACGACGACTACTGGCAACAAGGTGGCCCTCGAGACGAAACAGAACCCGAACCCATCTACCGAGATCCGGAACCGGAGAGGAAACGAACCTACCCCCGCTGGGACCGTCAACGTCCTGCCGATCGGTGGTCGAATCCCTACAGCGATGCCATAGATCCACATTCTCCCTTTAGCAGTGATCCACCTTCGATCCGACGACCGTACGAAGCGTTTAACAGAGGCAACCGAGAGAATTTTCAACCTATTGACGGCAATAGGCAAAGAAGACTTCCCAGACCGGAGGAGCATCCGACTCCCGGTTCCGGTCACAAAGCCTACCGAAAACCGTACTCACAGGCCAAACGAAACGAAGAAGAAGGTGGATCGTCCGGTGAGCAAGGCAAGGCCAGTGCCGCAGACCTGAAAGCTCTACTCAAGCAATCCGGTGGACTGAGTCTAAGCGAGATTCTTCAACAGCGCAATATCTCACTACAGGATTTGATCAAGGGCAAGCAAATGGCTCTGGCTGCGTTGACGCAAAGCCCCCTAGATGTCACTACAGTCACGGAACAAGACAACGAAGTAACCTCCACGATACCAACGCTATCCAGTGTCAGATTCCGAGTACAGGAGGACTCCACTCAGCGAACCGACTTCCATGATATCAAATCCATGAAAAGAATTCCGGTATATTCCCCATCTGCAGTTCCGATTATAGCAACGGAACCACCAACAACTACCACATCAACCACAACGACACCGACAGAGCTTCCACCAACGGCGCAGGATGAAACCAACTCCGTCGAAGACATCATAACCCTCGACAACCTTGGAAACCACAACGACAACGTTGCCATCTTTCCAACCGTCGAGATCAAACAGCTAGCCCTCAATCCGGTGCTTCCAACCGTCAAAGAAGAACGACTACGACCCATCAAGGGTGTAGCCTCCCGTATTCGTCCAGACTTGAGTAACTCCAAAATCCGAACGGAGGAAGTCTTCTCTGCTTCCAAAAGACGCTTGGAATCACTTAGGCCCTACGCTACTGCTGAACCCTGGCACTTGTCTACCACCACGACCAGCACCGCCATCCCGAACACTACATCTCGCGAAAAATGGACTCCCTCAGCATCGCTTCACGAAAAATACTTCCACAAACTTCAACAGAACAAATTCCGTCAACGACCTTCAGTGATCGCATCCACCGACCTCGATAGTGACACCCTAGAAGAACATACCGAACCAGCACTTCCCGATACGGAACCACCCGTTCCGGCTTCCTCTGAGCGATCTCTAATGCGAATCCCGTCTTCCCGGAATCGCCTTGCTATAAAACCCAAAATAAGACTCGCGTCCCCTGCACCGTTAACAGTGCAACCGCAGTCGACGGAAAATCATAGCCTCGCCGACATAGAATTCCACGATGAATCCGAGAACGTCACCAAACTGCTCGAAAGCGAGGAACCGGAACTGAACATCATCGAAAAGTTTACCTCCTTCGAAGACACCAAGAACGCCTTCGATCCGCAATCCAGCTTAGCGTCCGAACTGTCAACCACCGAGCTAAGTGAGGACGATCTCATCGAACGAATCAACCAAAACACCCAGCGTTCGTTCACCGACAGCCTTGAGGACTACTTCCGAGACGTAACCGAGAGCAATCCATCGCTGTTCAACGATCTCGGTCCGATCGCTCTGTCCGACGATCGGAATGAGATCTTAGAATTGATGGAAGATCGCCGTATCGGTGCCCGCCTGGCCAAGGTCCTATCCCAACGAAACATGACCTTGGACGAGCTGCTCGAGCATCGCAAACGTGGCTCCAGCCAGCTACATCTGTCAGAAATGATCAACGGCAAGTCCAAACCGATCGAGGACAAGATGGACATCGTAACGGCATTTGAACACTTCCCACGGTTCAATCTTGGTAACCTGCGGAGCATTCAACCGGACGACATCAAACTGGATTCGCAGGGCTTCAGCTACTTCACTTCCATCATCAGCATGCGCCCGACGGACGAAGCCTACAAGGAAGGTCGAGCGATGCAGCATCACCGAGGGGATCACAAATTCCTCGACTGGAAGCTCCAGCATTCGCCTCAACAGCAGCAGCAGCAACACCCAGCAAATCACAAAATGGATGGGATTCATTTTTTAGGTAACGGCGGATCGAAGGGTGGGCTGATAACCCCTTCGCGAATGTCCGCCGATGCCGAGTTCGACAGCAGCCACGATCAAACCAGCAGCAGTGATTTGCTCGATCTGGAACTGACCGGCCATGGGTTCAACCACCGGCACACGGTAACCATCGAGAGCACCTCGATGCCACTCGGCGTCAAATCGGCGATCGTGGCGAGTTCCTGCATCGTGGGCGTTTCGCTGGTGGTGTTCGCGGTGATCTTCGTCGTTTGCCGCTGGCGACAGCGGCGGAGAAACAAACTCAACTATACGGAGAACTTCAACATGGCCAAAGGGCGGCTGCCGATGATGCACAACGAGGGATTGAAGAACGAACAGATGCAGGTGTATACAACGCAGCAGCATCAGCAGCATCAGCAGCACCGGCAACAGCAGCAGCAGCAGCAACAGCAGCATCAGCAACAACAGTATTCGAAACAACGTCAACGAAAGGACAGCAAGGTTAACACGATGGATCCCAACTCGCAGGAAGTCCAGGACTACCTGTGGGATGCGATGCGTAAACCGTTCCAGTAGGTTTGCGGGAGAAGTTTGTGTGTTTGTAGGGATAATTCAAAGCCATACATACTGCGCCGAGGAGTTACTGGGAGTTTAGGTAAGATGCATTGGGATCAGCAAAAGGGTGGCGGTTAATAATGTTTCAAACGCTAATAACAATTGTAATTGGTATGCATCACGAACATTATGGAGAGATACTTGAGGGGTTAGATCACTGTAGCGGGTCTTCCATAATAGTTTAGAATCTAAAGAATACGGGAACACTTTCATTCGCATTATTTTGGGGCGGAGACTAGGGGACTACAACTGTTCGTATCACCGATGGCAACAGTAATATTAAGAAAGATGCTGCTAACAGAATTGTGAAGGTAACCACACCGGAGGTAACAGAGCCAATCTGAATCGCGGTCTTAATGAGCGCAATCGGAACCGGCAGCAGCTTCAGGGAGATTAATATGCGATTCCAGCATGACCAAAGATAAAAAATATTATTGAACAACGATATTTTGGACCGACATTTGGATAAACCATGGACGAAGTAGTTTGAGTCAGACGAATTTAGTACCTGACCAAGACTGCTGACACTGGGAAGCTACTGCAGGTCTATTGCTGCCACTACTACCGCCGGTGGGCATTTTAAGTCGAGTCCTTCCTATTTTAATGCTAATTGCTGGCTTGTATTGCAAACAAGATTCATGTTCTACTTGCCGGTTGGGTTATTGGTTTTGGCGAACGTCTGCCAGAATGACGCACGGTAGAGAACTGTCTTCTCCTGGATGGACAGCTTCTGCCATCAATCAGTCGAGTGCCATTTCCTTGAAGCGGATGACCAGCAACCAGCTCGTTGAATATTATCACGACTTTTTTTCCGTCCTTGACTTGAAAATGAAAACACACAATCTCAAAAGTCATAAGTGCAGGGTTGCCAAACTCGTGGGTTACTGAGACTGATAGCTTGATTGCCACACTTCGGCACGTTCAGCACAACGCTTGACCTAGCTTTCGGCACAGATTGGGATGTGCAAAGTTGAATACCCCAAGGGGTAAGTCACTCAGCGCATTGTGCCGAAATTAGATTCGGCATAGCTTGGGCACATCCATCGGCACACCATCAGCATACCTTCGGCACACCTTCAGCACAATCTCGTAGGCATTGGATTGTTGTAAATAAAATGGGAGCACTGATGAACAACTGTCATTGAAGTTGTTCACAACATTACGTGCTGTTGGACTGTATATTCAGGAACATCCTCTAATTGATTATACCAGAGGAACTCATACCAGTCGTTCACTCATAGATCTAAATATGAAATGTAAGTTCTAGAGTGGGCTCAAGAGAAAGAGGCAGTTAATCAGACCCCAAATAATGCTGCAACTCATACAAAACAAACTAAAGAAGTCTATTCATCACCCTCTATAGTCGGTCTCCAACAATGCTCTCCACCGGTTCCAACTCTTTCTAGCCTCTGATAGACCAATGCTTTTCACATCACGAAAAACTAGGTTTCTGGTCTGCCTTTGAGGGCATTATAAAACACTAAGACACAGGACTTTTATTACCCTATGGAACATAAAACATCACAATTTCAAACCAAAACATTCATGGTGTCAGAAATATCGGGTTGCCGGGATGAGTATTTTACAAACAATTGCAGCTTCCTCTATGACCGACACAATCGGCAGACCTGCGGCACACTGACAAAAACCTACCTCTTGGAATACCCCTTGATATTACCGTTTCATGGACATTATGCTATATTAAAGTGGATAATCTGACGCCAAATGATAGATTTTCTCTTAATTGAAAATATTTAAACAAAACATTCCGTCAGACGGTGGTTGTTTCCAGATCTTCTTATGATGAAAAATACGAGACTACTTTGTTCATTTTTGAGTAAATATGAGCAACTCAAGTTTACTCGCAGCGAATATATATTTACTCTGAGTACAGCTGTCTTGCCCCTTGGATTCGAGTATGAATATGGCTAGAGTCGGTGTATAATGAGTCACGCCAAGAGAAAAACAGTTGAACTCGCATCACGGTTTTCGAAAGATTCCCATTCTTTTCACTTGGCAACAGAGGACTTCTACAACAACTTCAAATGACTTCTAGCGAGAGAAAAAATATTGCGGCTGCAGTAAATCATTATATCAGTGATTTTGTCAAATTATCTTAACAGAAAATAGTAAAAATTCTCATTACTAATCATTACCGAGCGTATATCATGACAATTTAACGCTCACTGCGTGTTTATGCTCATTTCTTCGATTATATTTTATATTTTATTGTAATACCTTTCGTGGATCTTTCATAGCATCGTAATGTTTATTTACTTTGCACGATAGGTAGCCGGTTTGACAGTTCAATAGGTAGACTTGGCTTCACTCTTGGCGTGACTCATTATACACCGACTCTAAATATGGCATTAAATTTGGTTTTAAAAGTTGGGGCACAGGTAAAAAGTGAGGTTAAAGGGTGTCCACGATGAAATTGCCACACACAAAATTGATTCGCAAAATTAGAGTTTTCATCCGATTGCCATCAAATTTTCAGGGATTGAGAAATAACTATTAAACTTCATTTTACCATTTTACTCGTATTTTATTTACAGTCCATACGCAAATGCCCGCACCTTGGCCTTAACCCCGGCCATAAGATTCTGCACAACCTGTGAATCAACCGTTTTTTGCATGTAAACCCATACTTTCTTCAGTTCCTCGACTGTCTTCACTACCTTAGGTCGTTTAAGAAGGTGCTGCTTCATAATCGCCCAGTACTTCTCGATGGGGCGGAGCTCCGGAGTGTTGGGAGGGTTGAACATTTTCGGCACGAAATTGACCTTATTGTCCGCATACCACTTCTGCACGTCCTTGGAGTAGTGGCATGAGGCCAAATCCGGCCAGAAGATTGTTGGGACGTTGTGGGCCTTTAGGAGAGGAAGCAGCCGCTTCTGGAGGCACTCTTTTATGTATACCTGTCCGTTCATCGTGTCCTGGGTCACGAAAGGTGCACTCCGCTTTCCGCACGTGCAGATGGCTTGCCAAACTAAAGGGTGATACGGTCAAAATTTGGTCAATATCAACTTGACGTATTTCTTTCAATTTTGCATTTAAAAAACCTGAACACCCCTCATTTTGAAGGTGTGTGTGTGTAGAATGTTGCTCCTATTTTGATTTTGGAATTCACTCTTGAGTTGTCAAAATGCCGTCCAAGCAAGAAGAGCAGCGTATCAAAATTTTGCTCGCGCATCGCGAAAATCCGAGCTACTCGCACGCAAAGTTGGCAAAATCGCTAAAAGTTGCCAAATCAACCGTTACAAATGTAATTAAAGTGTTTGGGGAACGTTTGTCGACAGCCAGGAAGTCTGGATCGGGGGGAAATCGAAAACCGGAAGCCGCTGAGACGACAAAGAGAGTTGCCGGTAGTTTCAAGCGAAACCCTAACCTCTCTCTCCGAGATGCCGCAAATAAGCTGAGTGTATCGTCTACAACCGTGCATCGAGCCAAAAAACGAGCCGGACTATCGACTTACAAGAAGGTAGTGACTCCAAATCGCGATGATAAACAAAATACGACGGCCAAAGCGCGATCCCGGAGGCTGTACACGACGATGCTGACGAAGTTTGACTGCGTGGTAATGGACGACGAAACCTACGTCAAAGCCGACTACAAGCAGCTTCCGGGACAGGAGTTTTATACGGCAAAAGGAAGGGGAAAGGTAGCAGATGTTTTCAAGCACATGAAACTGTCAAAGTTCGCAAAGAAATATCTGGTTTGGCAAGCCATCTGTACCTGTGGCTTGAAAAGCAGCATTTTCATAGCTTCCGGGACTGTCAACCAAGAAATTAACGTGAAAGAGTGTTTGAATAAACGTCTGCTGCCTTTTCTGAAGAAACACGGTTGTTCCGTACTGTTTTGGCCGGATTTGGCATCTTGCCATTACGGTAAAAAGGCCATGGAGTGGTACGCCGCCAACAACGTGCAGGTGGTTCCCAAGGACAAGAACCCTCCCAACACGCCAGAGCTCCGCCCAATTGAGAAATACTGGGCTATTGTCAAGCGGAACCTAAAGAAGACCAAAAAAACTGCTAAGGGCGAGCAGCAGTTCAAGGCAAACTGGCTTTCTGCGGCGAAGAAGGTGGACAAGGTGGCTGTACAAAATCTGATGGCAGGGGTCAAACGTAAGGCCCGGCAATTCGGATTTGGAAAAGCGGAAGCCTAACTGAATATTTTTCCTGAATTTTATACTAATTGAACTTGAAAAAGAAATTTAATTTGATTTTTTAAATAAACGATTTCACCGATTTACACGCGTTTTCCCTTGACCAAATTTTGACCGTATCACCCTTTAGGAATTTCTTCGCAAATTTGGACATCTTCTGAGTGCGGACATGCTCCGGAACGCTGAACTTATCCTTGGCCGTGATCTTGGGATCTGTTTGAAGTCGGCCTTCACATATGTTTCGTCGTCCATGATGCAGCATTCAACTTTCGTCAGCATGTTGAGGTACAACTTCCTGCCACGGGTTTTGGTGGACTTGTTCTGCTTCTCGTCGCGATTAGGGGCCTTTTGTACCTTGAACGTTCGAAGCCCAGCCTTAGTTTTGGCCTTCTGGACAAAACTTCGGCTTAGGTGCAGCTTCTTAGCCACATCCCTAACGGAGGCGTTCGGATTTCGGTTGAAGGCCCCAACTACGCGGTTGTGATTTTTGGTGTTGTACGGAATACTTTTTCCTTCACTTCTGGGCTTCCGATCGGTGGTCAACCGTTCCTCGAACCGCTTAATCACTCGCGACACAGTGGAATTCGCGATTCCCAACGTTTTAGCGATGGAACGATGCGAGAGATCCTTGTTCTCGTGATGAATGCGCAAGATTTTATCACGCACGAGCTGTTCTTTCGACTCCATTTCCGCGAGTTTTGATCACAGGACTTTAAAACTTGCAGGATGTAAATAATGCACTATGAATTAAATCCACCCAAATTTTCATTAAATTCCACCCAACGGTTAAAAAGTTAGAGCAATTTCATAGTGTGGCAATTTCATCGTGGACACCCTTTACGGGACGCCACTGGTGGAATTTACTCATCTTTGAG